AATCAATTTATAATAATGATTAATAACAAAGTACTGTGGGCAATGGAGCTACAGACCAAAACTAATTTGTGGAAATTACTCAGCAAGTGATTATGACTAATGTGATTTGCCACTGGGCAATTCATGAACAAAAGTAAAATGTGTGGAATGAAACATTCATTATCCATTATTCACTCAGTATAGGCAATGGCATTCCTACAGTAGCAGAGCCTGGACAATTTGGGTAGAATTCAGAGATTTGTTACACCAAGCATTATATGGATTCTTTTTATTTTTTTCCCTTAAAAAGGGTGGGAAAATATCCCTCCTAAGGAGCTCCAGATGCTAGGTTTCAGATGTTCTTAGGGACTACACCTTCTGTAAAAGTGTGTGAATTAGCCTTACAGCTCAGGTATTGGTAGAAGAGCAGTCCTATTTGACACTAAGAGGTTTCCATGCGGACTAAAAACTCTCAGTAGCCCTTTAAATTCTTATATGGATTTTGTGGGTTGTGTTTTGACTTAACTGTCACTGTCCAGGTTAATCACTGGGGACACATTCTAAGATACTTCAAATACATCAAGACATATAGCCAGTTCCAAGATGATCCTTCAAGGATGTCTCAGTGTAGGTTTCTGTAGAGGCACATTTGGGAAAGTATTCTTTTGGTGTCTGGTGCTTTTCCCAAAAGGGATGGACCTTGCTGAACTCTATGGCATTGGCTTCAGCATGGGAAAAGGCAGAGCTCTCACCACTTCCTTCCCCACTGCCGTGGTGTTAGAGCAGACTGTAAATGACAAAATCTACTGAGGAAAAATCAGAGCAAGGACAGTAATTAAGAAGCTGGCAGATAAAATGAGTGAAATGACACATTGCTGTGCTTACACTGCTGGTTTATTTTCTTCTTGGTTCTTTTCCCTTTGTCCAAATCAGAAGACAATAAGGAGGGGTATCTTTGCATTTGCTTCATTTTCTGCCTGACACCAAAATACGTTGCCTTTGCAATAGGATCATCAGGATTATTTTTTCAAGCTTCTTTGTGATAATGCCCTTCAGAAGCATAGGGCTGTTTGAACTGAACAGAGAGAAGTTTCTTCTTATAATTCTTTGGATCATGAGATGTACGTCAGAAGAAAAGGGTAAGTCACTCTGCCTTTCAAGTGTAAATTTAAAGGCAAAAGGAAATGGCTGGAATGAGCACAGAACACCACAAGTCTACAGAAAACCTCCCTCCACCAGACACAGTGAGGAGGATGTCTGGGATGGGAGGGATTATATTCCCTTTGCCTTATTACCACAGATGGTCTGTTCTGTGCAAAGAAATCCTGCAATAGGCATACAATCCATTTGTGCAGAATCTCTTCTGTGCTTGCACTGTCCTGGGAATTTATTCAAAATATTTATGTTGTGCATGGATCTCAACGGGGTAAACTGGGCTCCCCAAATGACTTTTGCACCCCACTTCCTGTTTGACAAATGGGGACTAATCTTGACATTCCTAGAGAGCGTAACTTTTGGTCCTCTGAAATACACCTCATCACTAATAGACCAACTTTCCAGGGTAGAGAAACACATCTGAATTGAAACCTAAGTGCATCTATTCTTCTCAATTCATCAATAAGTTTTATTTCTATTGACTTTTCTTGTTCTTATAATACTGACAATGGTAGAGAATACTATCAAGTCATAACATAACCCAGGTTGAAAACTTAATCTTTCACAACTCTGAATAACATTACAAAACTGTAATATCTTGAAAGGATCCTGGTTCCATCTTTATTTCCCCCTTGAGGAATAGAATGTGTAAGTAAGGTAACAGGTTGGTATTAATTTACTGGTCAAACCAAAACAGATTCAAAGGAGATGTGTCTTTAAACTAGTTCTGGTTTTCTGACTCAAAAATGAAAATATCCAAAGTGCAGTCTTTGTAATTATAGCAATTCCTACATCTCTGTTGACACTCCTGGTCAAATTTCTGTTGTTTGTCAGGCGTATTGTGTTAAGATGGCAACCGGACTATATCTGGGGTTTATTTGCAGCTTATTTTGCACTACTGAGGGTTTTGGGGTTTTTTGTGCACTGTCTTCCATTTTCTCCAGAGCATATAATCAACATTGTGCTTAAAGGCTCATATTTAAAAAACAGAATATAAATCCACTGTCCATTGAATTTCAACTCTGGAATTCTGGAAGGGGAGGGAAGGACAGGGGAGAATTGACATTGTGACTTAAAAATTGCACAACTCCAAATACATTGTTCTCCAGTGAGGCTGATGACTTGCAGCCACAACTGATTTCTGCTGGTATCGTAAGGACTGGGCATTTCTGAGGAGTGTTATTATTGATCCACTTCTTCATGAGGGAATAACCTGAGATCTTTTTTGTGGGATGGAAATATGATAAATTAATGTTAAACATATTTATTACTTGTTATCCACCCGGGTGTCTCTTCCACCCCATGCAATGAACTTTTTTTTTTTTTTTGCAGATGGGCAGTGAAGCAGCTGCAGATGGAAGAGCCCTAAGACCTGACATGCAGCCAAACGCAGCCTGTGTTCATGAAACTGGGTGTCACTACACTCTCTCTTTTTTGAGTCTTCCTTTCAACCTCCTCAGCTTAGTTTCTCATCAGAATCAATCATTTTCCAATTAACTAGTCAGATTCTGCTGAAGTTTGCCAAAATTTTATTATCCTGCTCTCAGAGTTACAGTATGCCAATATTTAGTCAAGTTTCTACTACTCCCACTTTGATTTGAAGAAGTCTCTTTCTGGGAGCCTAAGGGAGCCCTGTAATGAGAAACAGTTACAGGAAGGTGAGTAACCCCTTTGCTTTGCAGGGTTTACAATATGAGGAGAAAGGAAAAACCACATGTGCTCCCTCTTTATGTTCCAACATCCAGGGGGGCGAAATTAATGCAAAAAACAGCTTCCACATGTATTGCTCGGGTTTATGGTTATGTATTTTCCTAATTGGGAGTAAAACAAGTATCCTTTTTGGGGTGTTACAGTAAAATTCTCAGGTGAAGGTCAGGTCCTTAATAAACAGTGCAGAAACAAATATGAGAGAATATTCTTTAGGAGAGTTGGGCATTGCAGTGCAGAATGTGGTAATGCATGGCATCACGACACTGCCTCTGTTGAACATTGAAATTTGTCATGCAACATGTGCACAGGCTGGGTGTCTTGAGAATGAGGGTTCCAAAAACAGCATCTTGAATGGGGAACTAACCAAACACAGCGTTAAGAAATGCAGATGTGATGAAGACAGCCTCAGATTTCCTACTTAAAGCTAGTAAGGTGTCAATGTCTTGACTGCTGGAGTATTCACAGAAGTAAGCCTTCTCCTGGGCTAAGGTACCTAAGGTAGCTCAGTTCTCTTTCTTTAGAAAACACTAGCAAGAAAGCTTCATCATAATTGAAAGACGGAAGGGAGTAAGAGCTCTTCTAACATCTTAGTTTTGTTTTATTTGGTATGCAGACAGAGACTTGATTTACTTGTATCCCAGATGTTAACTATTGGACTAGAAAATTATATGCACCTTCATTTGTTCCTCACTGAGAATACAATCATTTATGTAAGGTTTCAACAACAGAGGCAGAATTACATCACAGATTGCCTCATAGTTTGCTGGAGTTCAAGGCAGTGAGCAGCCCAAAGATTTTGCACACACTCAAAATGCTGTGGCACTCAACAGATTGATTAAGCTGCTACTTCCCTCATTCTGCTCGGGTTAGGCTGTTTTGGTGACTATTAATGAAGCTTATTGTTGGAACCTTGGGTGCTGGGAATTTTAAACTTTCTGTGCTGAAAGACACAGACCCGCAGAGATCACTGCATTTGACCTGAGGCTGTGGAGGAGGCTTCCAAAATTGCTTGATAGCACTGGGATTACAGGTGTGTAGTTGGTTGGAGGTGTGTAATACCACAGGGTGGAAAACTCAGAATTTGGGGTTTTAGAATACAGTAATAAATATAAAGCAAGATGGGGGTTTTAGAGTGGAGACAGGTTGCTCTTCTTTACCTTCTTCTTCCTTCTTCTTCATGGGTTTGGGTGGTATGTTATAATTGGACAGAAAAGTCTGCATTGCAGATTTTGAGTGATCAGTTATTTGGATAAAAGGGAAAATAATTTTGGTTTCATTTCTTAATTGGATAGTTTAGCCTTAAAAGACCTTGTAACAAGAGATAGCCATTTTGTGCCTTGCTAATGAAAGACTGCAGAACTCACAGCTGTGAGGCTGTAACACTGATAAGAAACAATAAACACCTGAGTCTGAACATGAACTATTGTCTCAAGTGCCTTCAATCCTGAAAAGGGAGAAAAAGGAAGCAGAGAACCCACAGCTTATCCCTTTCCCACAGTGCCTGGGGGCAGTGCATGTGCATGGTACAGTCCTTTTTTTTTTTGGGACTATAGACCTGGCTTACAGGTAGTCCCCATCCTCTGAGACAGTGGGCCAGACTGCTGTGGAAAGACTGCCTCTGCAAGCTGTGCCAGCAAAGCAGCATGCTGCACAGTGCTCCTGTGCTGCACTACTGCAGTGCCACTGTTGATTTTCATTTATATCTGCAGAAAAAGGCCAGGGAAGAAAGATTTTTGCTTACTATCCTAGACACTCTGTCATCTGCCTCTAGAAAATTATTCTGACAGAGAGATTCTTAAACTGAACTATTTTTTATATTGCTCTATGTGTTCACAATTTGAATTAACTCAGTGTTTTAAATTACACCATTGAGCAGATAATGAAGCAGCTATGTATTCTAGCAAGAAGTGTAAGAGCAAAGAAAGCAAATTTACAAGTATGGCACCTGCATCACTTTAATGAATTAAGTATTCTTTAATTTGTCAGGCATGCTGAATCTAATACCTATGCTATTTTATTGATAAATTAGGAATTTAGTGGGCAAAGACTTCTTTCCAGATAATAAAATAATCTGAAGTGCCAAATGAAAGGCAAGTCAGTGAATCCACTACAGTCTTCAAAAACGATCATAAAAAGATGAAAATAATCAAACTCACCTTAAGCCTGTTGAATGCAGCCTTCAGGATCTGTGTTTCCCTTTCGCTCTCAGGAACAACTCGTATGACTTTATCACTGCCAATAACAGAAAATTGAATTGGCACTTTAAGACTCCTTGCAGCAGTACAAAGGGACAGTAATTAGGTTCAGATAGCTGTAATTGTGCTCTTTTTCAGCACCTGTAAAATGTTGGGTTAGCTGGAGCTCTGCTTCTAAACTTGCTGCTGGATTATGCACTTCCATATAAATGATTTGCTCTTTACAGATCAGTGTCAGCTTGACTTACATGCAAATGTTTTGTTCATTCCTTCTAAGTTAAACCATTCAGGCTGACATCTTCCATAATGAACATCTGCCTCAGAACAAAAAAAAATATTTTTTTCCCAAAATGATTGATCTGTTTCCGAGGACAAGATTAAGTAAAATACATTGTTTTTTTATGTTTAAACCTTTAACAGACTTTGAAAAGTTCATTGTTTTATGCATTCAAGTGGAGAGTTGACTTGAGAAAAGAGGTGATTTCATATCAGGGCATGCCTTTTGCTTTACCCATTAAAACTTACACAAATTTTGTGAAGTAAATAGCTAGTCAAACATGCTCAGAAGGTTCTAGATAATAGTAGCTGATTTTATTCACTTTCTTTAACAGAAACCAAAATAGAGTAAGTTTAGGTAAGATACAAGCAAGAAATTCTTTGCTGTGAGGAGCACAAGAACTGATTGCCCAGAGGAGCTTTGTATACCTCATCCCTGGAAATGTTCAAGGCTATGTTGGATGAGGCTCTGAACAGCCTGTTCAGGTGAAAGGCGTCCCTGCCCATGGCAGAGGGGGCTGGAACTAGATGACCTTTAAAGTCCCTTCCAACTCAAGCCATTCTGTGATTCTATCATCTCAATGGACATAATTTTGCAAACAGGAAACAAGAAACTGAATGACCCTGCAATGACCACCATCTGTCATGACCGATGGGATGCTGGAGACCACAGACAATAGAGGGGATGATCATGTAACTAAAATATCAGCCACACACAAGAAGGATGAAATAACATTAAGTGGCCAGTGTGAATTCTGGAATTTTCCTACATTTTGAGTTTTTAATTTATATTGTTGCTAATCAGTACTTCTCTTCCAAGAGACCTTGGTGGTCATGCATATCTTTATTTCTACAGTTCCATCCAGTAGCCAGAATGCCTTTAAACAATTTTTTTATCTACAGTTCCTATATTATCTGGGAATTTTAAACAGTAGAATTTCCCTTGACATTGAGATTTTTGACCCTTAAGTATCTCGTGAGCTCTCCTCCTTTGCTGAAGCTCTGAGTCTGGGGAGAAGCAATTTGGCCAACTAGAAATAGCACTGCTGAGTGTGCCCTTCCTGGCTTACTGTTCTAGGAAGGCTCCCAAGCTGCTGCTGTTCTCAGGCACTAGGTCTTGCCTTTCATGAACTGCAGCTACAGCTCTGGTAGGACTCATCTTTGTTGCAAAAATCCTTAATACATACATAGGTAAGCATTAAATACTGCCAGTTCAGAAGAAAGCACTACTGATAAATTCTGAGTTCTGAAGTGGCTTACCTCTTTTGGAAAATAATTTTCCCTTACCCCCTATTCTTCTTAAGTAATTTCTCTACAGTCAACATTTGGTCCCCTTGGTTAGCCACTGATCCTTTTTTCTGTTTCAGCTCTCCAGTTTTGGTTCTCACCGCTGCTGACAGGTCCCAAGCCTTCCAACTCCTACATGGCATTAAAGTTTTTGGTCCAGTTAGACTCCAGGCTACTGCTGCAATAACACTGATGTACCCACAGGTGTGGACCTTAGTCCATTTGCCTTGCCTGCTGTTGACCTTACTGGACAATTGGTTTATGCCTAAGAAAAAAAAAAAAGGATTTCTGAAAGCTCTCTTCTTATAATTTGGCAGCCCAAAAAAATTAGGAGAAATTACTATGCTTCCAAGCCAAGTTTAACCTCCTGTTTTGGAGCTTGCACAGAGAGGAATACATCTCTTAGAGTACTACAACTGCTGCATCTTTTAAAGGAAAATAGATGCTTTTAATTTATCATAGATATAACAGCAATATTCTTTTCCATTACTCACATTTTTCTAAGTACTAAATTGCTGTTAAGAAGAAAATAATGAAAAAGTAATAAAGAAGTAATGGTTGCCCAGGAAGTTGATGTAGGTAATAAAGATTCATCAGACATTTCTGGAAGGATTGGTACAACCAACATATAAAAAACAGATTTTAATGAAATAAGTAGCTAAGCATGTGTTACACAGCTGTAATGGAATTTTGAAGGAGCGGATATCACTTAGGTATGGTCTTGAATTAATACTATAAACTGTCTTCGATTAGCTCAGCAACTCTGTGATGGAAAACCTGCCCTAGAGAGGAAAGTATTGGTGCTGTGACAGATTGATCACTTGACTCATTATTGGGAAATGCTTCAAGCTGTGGCTGAGTCTGCTGCTAGAGCACTCATAGCAAGCAGTTTAGCATGTCAATTTCAGTATTTTATTAAAAGATGGTTAAGCTATTATGACAAAGCCCTTTCAATTTTTGTGCATGCAAGACGTGGGAACACACTGGATTCCTGGGAACTATCTGCTAACACCCACTTCTGTATGTTGGCTAGTCAGTGGATAATCATTATGCATTCTTCAACAAAGCACATATAGGAAATCTAGCTTTACTTCAGATATATACAGTCTTAAAGTAATTTTTTAGCTTTATAGTTTTTCTGGTTGCATTTCACATTAAAGAAATCCAATTATAACCTTAAATGCTATGCAATACCCCCTGGGTTTAGGATAAAAATTTAGTAACCTGCCCCTATTTAAAAGCCAACAAAATCTATCAGATCATGTGTTAATGTGGTTGATAAATGTTAGCTGCACCCCAAACACTCAGGACCATCCCCTGGTGAGGTCCCTTGCTATCCTTTATGTTGAGCTGTTCAGGAGAAGAGAACAAGTAATCATATATATATGTATCTAAGGAAAGTTTTGCTGCCTGCAGACAAATGTCAGCAGTCTGCTGATTTATGCAGGTAAGGTTATTTTTGTAACCATGATGCCTCTAAATCTTTTTTTTTAACCCTATTTAAAAAAAAATTCTAAACAAACAGCAAGATGGGATATATTTTGTATAAATTATGTAGAAATTTATGTCCACCATGACAAACTTTCAATTTACCCCTAGCAATTAGGCTAATGGAATTTAAAGCTACGACTTAGTGAGATCTTTTGAATTTTGTGTAAACACAAAATTGTGTTGAAAGCCTTTGCCAAGAGCAGAACACAAGCTTTAGTAAATGAACTGACTGAAGGAGTGTGGTGAGCAGAGCAGAAGCCAGACGCTGATGTCCCCAGGGACAGCCTTATGTCTGAGCGAAATGGGTGACCAGCTGTTGGCCAGCACTGACATGCAATGACCACTTTTTTCCCCTTCATCATCCCCTTACATTTTTCAGGAACAGCATGAGAAATGACACAGCTGCTTTTGAAACACAGAATATGCTACGTGGCCCTGGGAAGGTTGATACTCCCTGATGCCAATGGGGACTAAAACTTCTTGGTTTATTTCTTTGGCTTTTTCATTTAATTTTTTCCCGTTTACTTCTTTCCCATTTCCTTCATAGTTTTGCTCATCTATGAACAGACCAGATGGATCCAAAGAAACTATTCTGCAGCACATCTACTTCTTTACTGATGGAATTAGCAGTTCTCTCTCATGAAACTTTCCTGATGAAGTCACATGGCATGAACTGCATTTATATAAATTCCTCATTTCCTTCAGGAAAATCCTTTTTATTGTTTTATTCTCCTGACTAATGTGAACCTTAATCAGATTTCTGCTCTCCCATGAAATTTAATAAAAGTATGTTTACAAAGGCTCTACAAGTATTTTAAACATAGTTTAAGGAGTGATATGCTATAAATCAAATGCCTATAGAAAAAATAGGAATGAAAATAAATCTTCACTTACAGGCATCCATTCCTAATAGTAGAGGAGGGATTACAGTTCTTGAGAAAAAACTGCCATAGTTGCTGTACTTTAGAGGTTCATTAAGGCCGAATGACACATCTGAAAAGTTCTACAGTATTAAAGCCTCTTGTCAACTCCCAATATGCCATCAGATATAATTTATGATGAAAGATCAATTGCTTCATTCCCTTTCCTCCACTAAATTCTGATAGTGAAAAGGTTAAGAAATAATTAAACATTAATGCTTTTTTCTTTCTCTTACTTCAATGAAGAGTTTTAACTGTGATTCAATACTGCTACAAAATCAAGATAGACAAATAAAGCTGGGCTTCTTCCTGAGACCTGATGGGTACATCTGGAAAGGGAACTTTACAAAACTTCCTGAACCCTTCATTATGGTTTTCTGTATTACACCAGGTGTTGATCCAAACAGAAGAGAACACAATCTGTATTGTCTAGATAGCAATGTATGTATTTTCTGCCTTTTAGCTATTAAGGCAGGAAAACTGAGCCCATTCCTAGTATAAGAAGGAGATAGCTAATTTACGATTTTGAACAAAAAATAGTTGCTTGGATAATGTAGGCAGAAATGCTGAGGAGGCAAAGTATGTTGTTGCGTTATATTTATCAGCACAGCACAGATGACTTCTTGGGAAGCTGAACTTTCATGCTAATTTCCAAGCATGGAATATCTGAGTTTCATAGATGTTTATCAGGTGTAAAAAGGGTTTCTTTACCCAGCAGGAAACTTTACAGACTAAAGCAATGCTATATTACTAGCAGTCTTCCTCTGCACAGCTTCATTTCAGAGACATATGGTAGGGGAATGTTAGTATCTGCAAAAATTTCAGTTTTCATTTCAACTAGGGAACAAAGCTTTTCCAATAAATCCTGGCCTCCCATGTCTCATAAACACTGGCTATAGGGCCACCTAGCTTAAGCACAAGAGGTGGGAACCAATTGCTTCAGTGCATGTCTCTGTCTCAAAAAAGAAAATTGAACTGTGTATGGTAATGAATGCTGTCTTGCTTTCATCAGATGTCATCCAATCATGTGCAAAAGAAGAGAGAAAGAGGGCAGTGATTCAGG